ACCACACTGGGACTCCATTTCTTTGTCTGAAAAGTAGGGGAAATGTTTCCCACCTTGGGTTTTCAAGGGAATTAAAAGAAATAAGACATGTAACAAACTCACCAAGGTGCCTGGCAGGTGACAGACTCTCAGCCACTGAGAGCCGTTATTCCTTAAATACAATGGCAAACGTGATAGTCACAGAAAAAGACGGGAAGGGTTTGTCTGTGCGCCGAGAGGAGCCTGGCCCAATATAATAAGATAGTTACAACAAAACAGTACCCAAGGGGGCATTTTTGGATCCTCAAAAGATGGAGATGACAGATTTTGCTGAGGAACACAGACCCACACAACTCAGCGTGAGGCCCCTTTCCCAGGCTGCCCGAAGTTACCCAAATTATTTTCCTGGCATTCACGTGGTCTCAGCTCCTTCACCTGAGAGCCGAGGCCCAGCCCCATCTGCCCCCAAATCCCTCCCCAACCAACTGTTTCTCTCTGCACCAGTCAGACCAGTCCTCTGAGCCTGGCCTTCCCCGCCTGACTCACCGGCCCATGTCCAGCCCACGTCCTACTTGGTGTGCGAGGCTCGGTCTAACCGTTACTTCTAAAGGACTTTTTTCCTGGTTCTCCTGATTGAAATCAATTCTCCCTTGCTCTCCACGCACACCCTGCCATCTTTGCTCTGCTCCTCTCTCAGGCACATCACCACTCTCCCCCAGCCTTGGAGAGAGAGGTCACCCTACGCTAGCCTAGAAGGTGCTTGTGGGCATGCTGCATTGCCTGTCTCATCTCCGTGCTACCCGAAGCTCCAGGGCGACCTTCCCACACAGGCAGTCTGTAAGGATTGGTTGAATGTTCTGGACTAGAAGGATCCCCCAGGATAGCTGGCACACACACACGCTGTAAAAGCTGATGGGATCACCCAGTAAATTCTAAGTAGCTACCCTATAATGAGGGCAAGTAAGAAAGATGCCTTCTGTGGCAAATGTTTGGTTCAGCTGCCCAGGCTGCCCAGTAGCTCAGCCTCCCTAAAGGAAACCAGGCTGAGCCGTGAAGAGCCCAGGAGCTTCACCCAGCTCTGAACCTAGCCGAGGGACATGGGGGCTCTGAGCCCCCTGCTCAAGTGGACCTGAATAAATCAAGCCTGGGATTGACCTCAACTTTGAGGACAACGGTCACACGTTTCTTTCTATCGCCCTGTTTTGTCTGGGCTTGGGACAAGGAGAATTGGGGGGAGAGGGGGTGTTGTTTTTTTTAAGATTTTATTTATTTATTTGAGAATGAGAGGGAGAGAGAGTGTGCGTACACAAGCAGGGGAAGGGCAGAGGGAGAGGGAGAAGCAGGGTCCCCGCTGAGCAGCAAGCCCGGACCACGGGGCTTGATCCCCCTGACCTGAGCCGAGGGCGGACGCTTAACCAGCTAAGCCACCCAGGCGCCCCTTGGACAAAGAGGGTTGTAAAATAAAGTTTGGCCCCCCGTGTTACTATGACATAATATAAAATATACATATTGGTCTTTGCCCCCAGATCAAATATATATATTGATCCCAACACAAAGCTCCCAAAACCCTTGTAATCTCCTGAGTGAGAGGGGTGCTGGGAGCACCTTTTGTTCTAATATTTGGTCTTTGACCCTGGTTTCTGACACAGAGTTCCTAAAACCCTTGTAATCTCCTGAGTGATAGGAGTGTCTTTTGTTCTAATGAGGTGACTCTGAGGGGCTCCCGGGATAGGGGTTGGAGGAGGGCCGGTCACCAGGAACACCAAACATGATTAGAAGCTTGGAACTTTCAGCCTCACCCCATCCTCCTGGAAGCCCAATGGGGCTAGAGATCGAGTTAATAATCAATCATGCCTACACGGTGAAGCCTCCATTAGAAAACCCCCAAACTCTGGGTTCCAGAGTCCTTGGGAGGGTGACACAGCTGGAGGGGGCATGAGAGCTCCTCACCCCTTGCCCACACCACGCCCATGTACTGCTTCACCCCGCTGTTCACCTGTATCCTTGGTAACACCCTTCAGGATAAACATAAATAAATGTTCTCCTGAGTTTTGTGAGAAGTCCTAGCAAACTATCAAACCCAAGGAGGGAAGCCCTGATTTAGAACCAGTTGGTCAGAAATATATGTGACAGCCCTGGATTTACGATTGGCATCGGAGGTCTGAGCAGTCATGTCAGACTGAGCCCTTAACCCCTGTGGTCTGTGCTCATGCCAGGCAGTTAGTGACAGCGCTGAGCTAAATTGCCAGACTCCCAGCTGGTGTCTACTGAGAATTGGAAAATTTCTTGGTGTGGCAAAACCCACACATTTGGTGTCAGAAGTATTCTGAGAGTAAGAGAAAGTGTTTTTTCTTTGCTTTTTGTTTTATTGAGATATAATTGATATGTATGGTGCTTTTTTCTTCTACTCCCCAGATCTACTAGCAAGTCTACCAACCCCTCCCATCCTGAGAAAGACTTCTAACTTGCCAAGGAAGGAAGGAGGGAAGAAGGGAAGAAAGGAAACAGAGGGAAAGAGGGAGGGAAGGCAGGGAGGAAGGAGAGAGGCAAAGAGAGAGGGAAGGCAGGGAGGAAGGAGAGAGGACAGAATCTAGCTAGCTGTGTGTACTTATAACCACCACTTCTTGAATTCTGGTCAGTTTTGTCCATCATTTGATGGTCTACAGCTAACTACTACAAATTTCCACCCAGACTGTGAAGATATGCTTAATACATCCAGCGGAAACTGGCATCTTTATAGAAGGAAACTGACACCATCTGGTTATGAAGTTAAACACTCAAATCTCAAGTTCCTAGAAGGCCTGCCAGAGCCCTGTAGGACCCCAGTTGGAGGCCTGGCTTGCCTTTATGAAAATTCTTCTCTCTTAGACCTAACACAGGTGAAGGGGTAGGGAACCACTTCTAGATGAAGGCCACAGTGTGAGCAAATTGACCACAGGGAAGAGAATTCCACAAATGCTTCACAATTTTTTTTTATTGGAAAAACAGAGTTTTCAGTCTCTCAAAACGTTGTGTACTTCGACATAATGTTTTCCTCTTCACTTAAACCCTTATTTTCTCCAAAGGAAACTTAATTTAAACAATGTGTTACTGTAATTAAATAGAGGACTTGGTGATACAAACACCAAAATTCTTGTTTGAAAGTAAAACTTCCCTGGCTTCCAGGACTGCCGGGGAATTTTTAAAAGAATAGTGGCAGCTTTCGAGCTAACAGTTTTCGCAGAGCCAGAGTGAGAAAATGAACCAGGAATTTATTATCTGAACATATTGTGTGGAGCCTGAGGTAGATGAAACTCACCCTCCTTGTCCTCATAATTCTAACTGCACGTGTGGATTAGGCAGTGAATTTCTGAGGAAGCTCCGAGGTCTCAGCAATCCTTCATTCACCAGGCGTCCACCACCCAGGGTGTCACGCAGGTTGAAGAAGAGCAGCCCACGTTCTGCAAATCCCAACATGCAGTAGATGCCATGTGAAAAATTTCCTGGGAACTTCAGCTGTGTTAGTTTATCACCAGTGATGCTTCATCCCAACCACTGACAACCCAAATGATCAGTTGAGGGTTATTCTGGAAAAATGTGAAGTTTTAAATGGAACCACAAGACAGAATGAGGATGCTTGGAAATAGTTGAAAAGCGATGAAGACCACCCCAACAGCAAAGGACTGAATAACTGTCTGTGAAAAGACCAGATAAATTACCCTCCAGTGCATCAGGAAATGCCTGATTATTTTCTAGATTCATGTAGCACTGCATGAATATGGGATTGTTTGCTATATGCTTGACCAAGGGCAAAAATTCTGTATTTGCATCTGGTTCTGATTATGTATCTGCCCCAGGCAAGACCACCCATCCAGACACCATCAACAGTGAGGCAGTTGGAAAGAGACGGGTGCTAAGACCATAAGAGGCTATGTTGAAAAATAAACCTAGTCCCCTTTCTTCCTCTTGATAACCACCTGGATGGCTGGGTGTCCTCTACCAGATAAGGCCATGTCATTGCCCACCCTGACACATGGAGCTACTATCATTTTATTTCAGCTCAATACTAAAGATCTAGGAATTGATGGAAGCTCAACCCTAGGCAGAGGACAAGGGTCCTCCATCATCACTCCTCATGAATCAGGGCCAGGGAGGGTATAGAAGGGCACTGCCTCTTATCTGTGATATAAAAGGTAATATCCCAGAAAAACCATTCAAGGTCATGGGCAAGAAAGCCAATCGAGCAAAATTAGCAGTTAAGAGCAGGGCATGGAAGCCCATTGAGGGCAGGCCAAACAACCAGTTCAGAGGAGACAAAAAAGAAGTGAGCAGACCAACAAGAACTGGGTAAAATCTGAATGTTGATTGCCAAAACATGAGTTTTGATCGGTGAAACAGGCTCAGTTAAAAGGTCTGTGTAGGGACAAATATCCCCATATACTCAGTGTACAACAATAATTGATAACATTAAGCATTTACTATGTGCCAGACATTTAAAAAAATTTTTAATTACACTACAGTAAACATACAGTGTTAAATTAGCTTCAAGTGTCCAAATATAGTGATCTAGAGAATATAATGCTAAGCAAAATAAGTCAGTCAGAGAAAGACAAATACCATATGATTACATTCATATGTGGAATTTAAGGGAAAAAAAGGAAAAGAAAACAGACACTTTTCTTAGGGCTTTATGCATATTATCTCATTTATTCCTCACAACTCAGTTCCCTGAAATAGGTACAATAATCAGCAACCCCCTTTGTCAGGTGAAGAATCAAGGCCCAGAGAAGTTGAATAATTTGCTAAGTCACCCTGCTAGCAAACAGAAGAGCTGAGATTGAAACCCAGGCAGTCTGGCTCCACAGTCCATGGGCTTTATCAACAAGCTTGTGGGCTCTCTGGGGTGTCTAATGCTCAGCAGAGTTTGTATCTTTGCAGCACTCACAAGATATTCTGAGGCTCAGACTGGGTGTGCCTGGTGGCTCAGTTGGTTGGGCGTCTGACTCTTGATCTTGGCTCAGGTCTTGATCTCAGGGTCGTGAGTTCAAGCCCCATGTTGAGCTCCACGCCGGGCGTGGAGCCTACAAAAAAAGAAAAAAAAGATATTATGAGGATCAGACAACCCCCGATCCTGTGGCAGGATTACTTTAGAGGTGGGGTAGCATCCAATTTTGAAAGCAGAACTCACCCTATCTGTCCAGTATGAAGGACCCCAGAGATGAGCCATGTCTAGGAACAGGGTAACCAGGGAATTTCAATCTTAAAAAAACAGGAGCTGCAAGCATAGATGGAAGCAACCGCATATTTCCTCCTGCGTCTTGCAGACCAGGATTTAATCTCCTCATATTTACAGTGTTCAGTAAAATCCAATTTTAGAGTCAGTATTAACTAGCAATGCCTTCATTAGAAAGTCAAATGGAAGAGTTATTTAAGACATTAACTAAAAGATAAGTGGAAAAGTTGAGCATGAAAGTAAAGATATCTCATAAAGTGGTTAATTAGAAAAGTATTTTAAACATTGTAAATATTCACACTTTGAACAGCCCAAATATTTGCATAACTTTATTTCAAGAGGAGTCTCAATAAGGGGGTTTCAAAATTGCAAAGGCTATAAAAAGACTAGTGTGTTATTTTCCATGTGCTTGTTTTTGAGCAGAGCTCAGGAATTGTCTGGCTAATCCACAGTGAGTCCTATCTTCCTTCAATGAATGTATCAGGATCTGCCTTCATTTTGGATCTAAACTCTGCACTCCTGCCCACACAATACCCACTTTGCAACCAAGTCTGTACTATGCCTCAACTGGGCATCACTCTAGGGGTCAAGGACACAGAGGGGCAACACACAAAACCCTCACACGCAGAGCTTGCATCCTAGTGGGCAAGGCGGATGGTAAACAAGTGGATACTTGCACACTGTGGTAACACTGGGAGGGAAATACACAGGAGCATCTGATATATAATAATAAAATAATAGAAGGAAAGGCTGCTTGGGGACTGATGGCCAAGGACAGCTTCTCTGAGGGTGTGGCATTTCAAACAAAATTAAGAACTGTTTTTTTAAAAAAAGATAAACAAAATTGACAAAACTTTAGCTAGACTAAGAAAAAAAGAAAGAGGATGTAAATAAATATAATCAGAAATGAAAAGTAAGCATTACAACTGATCCCACAGAAATATAAGGGATCATGAGACTACAATGAACAATTAATTATACACCATCATCTTGGATAACCCAGAAGAAATGGATAAAGTCCTAGAAATATACAACCTACCAAGACTGAATCAGGAAGAAATTTTTTTTTAAATCTGAATGTACCAATAATGAGTGAAGAGAGTGAATCCATAATCAAAAACCTCCCAACAGAGAAACGCCCAGGACCAGATGGTTTCACTGGTGAATTCTATCAAACATTTAAAGATGAATTAAAACCAATCCATCTCAAAATCTCCCCAAAAATTGAAGAGGAGGGAACACTCCCAAACTCATTTTACAGGACCAGCATTATTCTAATACCAAAGCCAGATAAGAACACCACAAGGAAAAAGAAACTTAAGGCCAATATCCCTGATGAATATAGACACAAAAATTCTCAACAAAATATAAGCAAACTAAATTCAACAACACAGCTACAGTAATCAAAACAGTATAATAGTGGCATAAAAATAAACACATAGATGGATGGAACAGAATCAAGAGCCCAGAAATAAAACCTTGCATATATAGTCAACTAATATTTGACAAGGGAGCCAAGAATACGTAATGGGTAGTATTTATTTGAAAGTTGCTAAGAGTGAATTTTAAATGTTCTCACCACAAAAAAAAGAAACGGTAATTATGTGACCTGATGAGAGTGTTAGCTAATCATTTCCCAATATATAAGTGCATCAGATCAACACGCTGTGCCCAGTAAACTTACACAATGTTATATGTCAGTTACATCTCAATAAAGCTGTGGTGGGGGGAGGAGATTTCATTGTAGAGAAGGTCCAAGGAGACCTAGAACTTGAACTCTTCCTAGTACATGAGATTTACAGCTTACTCATGATGATCCAGGTGTGAATCAACACTTAGGAATTTTTTATAGAATTCTACAACCCCATGGCTGCTCCCGACCTACACTTCCAAACTTATATTTTTCCATAATTTCCTTCCCAAAAAGCCCCCCATTTTGATACAACTGGTCTACTTGGTACTCCCTAGATTTGTTATGTCTATCCTTACTTCCTCCTCACCCTCTTCCATGTGTTCTCTCCACCAGGATTGCTCTTCTTCCTTCCTTTGCCCAAGGCAAGCCAGTGCCGTCTGTTGCACGAAGCCTTTCCTGGCTAGCTCTATCCACAACTGACCTGGAAACACCTCCAAACCACAGTGCCTGTATCACTCATGTGACACCTGGCAATTAGAGCCTTGATTGTGAGCTAATTTTCAGTATTTATATCCAGCCTCTTCAAATAAATTATACATGACTTGAGGTCCTTTGTGGGGTTTTTGCAGACACCTTTGCTGATACCCAGTGACTGGCCAAATGCCTCTACAGTCTCTTATAACATTTAGCACAGCATATTGCATTTGGCAATTTCCTTGACTTTCTCCTAAATAACGCCCACATCCAATTAAGGATCAAGTTCTGTTGTTTCGGACTCTTTTATGTCTCTTGTATCTCTACACCTCTTACCATCATCCTTCCACACCTACTCTAGTTCAACCTACCAGCACTTCCCACTTGAATTAGTGGACTAACCTCCCAACTGGTATTTCTGCCCCCATTACTGTCCTTGCAAGCCATTCAACATTCAGGGCCAGAGTGACCTTTCCAAAGGTCCCTCCCCCGAGGAAACTTGCTCCTTGCCTTCCCATTGCACTTAGCATGAAGACCAAAATTCTCCCTTGGTCTCCGAGGTCCTGCCTGGTCAGGTGACCTGTCACCCTTCCTCTGGTACCAGCAAAAGGCTCTTGTGCTCCAAAACTCTTATTCCTTCTCTGATTCCCTCTATCCATGTCTCCATCACATTTATTCTTGTTCATCCTTCAGAGCACAGCTCACAGGCCGCTTCCTGACAGGACGTGGACCATCACATCCTCATAGCGTTCTGCTCTAAACCCTTGTGGCTCTGATCGCAAGCATGATTCAATAAATAATTATGCATCATGTCATTTAATGTCCATCTCCCCCACTACATCTATGTTTCAAAGAATCGAAACCTTTATTTTCTTGTTCACTGCTTTACCTGAGCTCCCAGCACAGTGCCTGGATTATAGTCAGCCTGAAAAAAGTCTTTTACTATTTTTATTATTTTTTTAAAGATTTTATTTATTTGACAGAGAGAGACACAGCAAGAGAGGGAATACAAGCAGGGGGAGTGGGAGAGGGAGAAGCAGTCCTCCCGCAGAGCAGGGAGCCCGATGTGGGGCTCGATTCCAGGACCCTGAGATCATGACCTGAGCCGAAGGCAGATGCTTAACGACTGAGCCACCCAGGTGCCCCGAAAAAAGTCTTTTAAATAAATAAACAAATTCACAGTTTAAGCCTAAGCTCTTAAAGGCATGAAATATCTTATTCATGAGTTTACCCCCTACATCTAGCACATATCTTTTGCATAGTAGGACCCAAAAAGATTTATTTTTATTTTTATTTTTTTAGAAGATTTTATTTATTTACTTGATAGAGCACGAGGGAGCAGGGGGAGGAACAGAGGGGGGAGGAAGAGGGACAAGCAGACCCTGCCCCAAGCACAGAGCCCAACGCAGAGCTCGATCCTAGGACCCCGAGATCATGATCTGAACCAAAACCAAGAGTTCAATGCTTAACAGACTGAGCCACTGAGGCGGCCCCCAAAAGATAATTTTTTAATGAGTGGCTCTATCTCATAGTGTTAGCTTTGTATTTTACAAAAGTTGAAGGACAATAAGAAAGTCATAAGTGTGAAACTTTGAAAAAAGAAACATTAAATAATGGAATTTTTTAAAAGCTCAACTCCAATGCTGATTTAAGTCAAGCACGTGACTTGTATTTACCTCCACTGCCTAGAGAGCTAAGGCTGGGGTTTGCATGGGAAGATACGATCCTCAGCTTGCCAATCTTCAAATAAAATGCGACTCTGACCTAAAGTTTAGACATCATCGATAAATACAGATCAGAGCAATTTCCTATGCTGACTTTGGCTGAAAGGTCATCCGCTGTTTGGTTGTTGCATTACCTGCTCTTACGTTGTCGCACATAAGCAGGACATTTGTTTTGAGTTATCAGAGAATTTTAATCTTGGCAGCTTCTACGTCTGCTATATGCAGAGCCAGGGTCTCTCAGACATAAGCTCCTCTCTTAGACATTTTCTTTTTTTTCTTTTTCTAAAGCTGCATTAACTGCTTCAAGCAAGTTGGACAATGTGCCAAGAACAAATGGAGATGCTTCAGTAGGGAAAAGTGCACAGCCGTGATACAGCTAGATGATGAAACCAAGCCTGCACAGCCGAGATGGGAAAGGCCTGGTGGGGGCTGCTAACCCATAATAGCAATCTTACCTTCATCCTGAAAAATAACCCAACCATGGGACAGCCGTACAGCCTCAAAGTTTCCAAAACTGCAGTTCTAATTTGCATGCCTAGAAATATAGGCATGTGTCAGTAGAGACTGGTATGCTGAGGTTAAGTGTGAGAAAAAAGAGTGTTGCTAGTTGCTTTCAAGTCATGATTCATGCAATGTTTTCCATGGAGCACTCCCATAGGATGATAAAGAGGGAGGGGGGTCCCATAATCCCTCCTGGAGATTCACGATGCATGCGATCACATGAGAAGCCCTAGAGTAAAGAAATCTGTTAAACCTGGCATTTTCCAAAATTAATTGACTGTGGAACCTTTTCCTATGTAACATCCTGTTGTCATTTATCATTTTTTGGCTGGCAGGCATCTGAAGTCACTTCTTCTGTCTAGGGAATCCCCAACTGTGTGAGAATCTTCCTGGGAGGCAAGGTCTACCTCCCCCCACAGGAGGTAAAAAAGGCAAATAGTTCCCCTGCCTCACTTTGTGGGAACCAGGGTATCACGTGCCCTCAGGGTCAGTGGGCTGTGGCCTCCTGAGATTTTGACTCTGGAGGAAATGACAGGGAAGCAAAGCAGTACAAACTCCTTCTGGTGGCTATGGTGGGCACAAGGTTCAGAGCTCAGAGCCATTGGTGGTGCAAGGAAGGGGTTAAATATCTACAGGTGGTGGCAGTGGTGTCCTACCAGGCGGTCCCCAGAGAATGGTTTTGGCTGTGATTCTGGTCACCTACCTCTCCCTGGGCTCCTGACCATTGTCCCAACCTGTTCTCCAGGCCCGCATCAGGACTGTGAAGTCAAGTGCCCTTCTCTTCCTGTCTAAGTCATCCAGGTCAGCCTCTGTGGCCTGCAAATGAGGATTTCCCTCTGACTCATCCTTTAACATCTGGCAGAACTGGTGCTTCATGGAATGACTTTGGAACATTCTGCATCGTCATGCAACATGACCAACCTAGAAAGTTGGATTCTCAGATGACAGTATAGTAAATCCACGTGCCTTTACTTCCTTGACGGGACATTCACACAGCTTCCAAAAGCAATTTGCTACTATGTGTAAGGTTTATGAAAAAAAAAAATGTCTCAGAAAAAAATTTGATCTCTGATTTCACCTCCAGATCACCACCATTTAAGACCATCAAGGTCTCTTATAGGCACCACCTCCCTTCCTCTGACTTGACCATGACTCCTCCTCCTTGACCCTCCCCACACCACAGTCACTTAGTATCCACCATTTCTTTTATCCTTAAACAGAATCCACTCCATCTGAGTGCTAAGCAGTGTGAGTTTCATGCAGATTATGTGGGCTACAATACTAAAAAGAAATAATAACTGTGCAACACAAAGATGTTTCAGCTGGCAGAAGACTTTAAGCTGGTAAAATTTTTAAATGCTGCCGTTCAAAATAAAATATGTCAAAGTTTTCTACAAGCAAAACCAAGTTCAAATGGACCACCTGAGTAGAGTTTTCCAGTGTCACTGACAAGGAACTGAGAGATGCAAGCATATAGATGACTAGAAATGTTAGCCCTGCAGATGTACTTTTTTCTCCTTTCTTAGTTGGTGAAAATAATCTCATATATTTCTACCTAGTAGGTCATATCTTGAGGCTAAGTTTGATATATTTTTTCCTGGTGTGGGTGACTTCTGGACCTCTGTTTCAAATACACCATCACCAAATCTGATAAGTTTCCATATTGTTAATTATGCTATCTTGGTCTAACATCTATCTCACTTGTGATAATGGACTGATAATGGATGAAATGGGATTTTCTGCTTGTAACTAAAAAAACAAAAAACAAAAACAAAAAAACCCCCCTTGATTTCTGAGCATAGCCCCTATATCATCAATACCCATGGGTAACTTCAGCTTATCCACCTTGTCTCCCGCCCCCCCATATAACCAGATGGTTCTTCTAAGAAAATGGGAGGTTCTGTACTGTGCCTTTTTAAAAGCTTTGACTAAAACAAAAGATTTCTAGCAAGTTCTTAGTTTTTCGATTTGCATTCAAAATACACATGATAGAAGAATTGGCTTATTTGGAGAGATGACACTTTGAGATATTAACCAAAATGTTCTTTCCCTTTCCTTTTGATCGTCCTTCCCTTGGGCTGCAAACATACACTTGTCATTTTTCCAGGGGTGGTGGAAAGAGGGTTTAGAGGGTCAGAAAGGAAATGGAACAAAGATATCCAATTCTTCAGAGTAAAGCTCAAAGGCTAGGGGTTCAGGAACAAAATTGGAGAGAATTGGAAAAAATTGGAAAGCAGATGCATGAGTCAGGACTGGACTCTTCTCTCTTTCACCCACCAAGGATCTGGAAGCACGAGGCTACAGCTCAGCGGGCCAACCTAAGGACCAGGTGACACAAAGCACATCTCAAGGGCTGGCAGCAGAAAACATTGCCAGGTAGATATCAAGAAACAGCCAAATGATACTTGAGTAAACAGCCCCCTTCCTAAAGCTTCACATCAACATCAACGTGAGGGGCAACGAAGTTTATGCAAGAGGGAAAAAAATCCCCAAATTTAGTAAAATGTTTAACCTGAAGTGACCTAGAAATTATGAAAATGCACTGAATTTACCTGAAAGAAATGAGATCCCATTTTCTATAATAGGAAAATGAAAGTGGAAGCTCAAGGCCAGACACAAAAAGTTTGTTCCTGAAAAAAATACTCCATTTTATAAGTGAACTTGAGAACTGAAGTTTGCATCCTCTTGAGTCAGATTTGCATAAAGGACCTGGGTCTGAGGGCAATACAATTGGGACTGGCCTTTCCGACCCACCTGAACTGCTCGGATCTTCAGAGCTTATTGAAGTGGGGGAAAGCAGAGATGGGGAAAGACGTGGGACGAGGCAGCACCTGGACAAGTTATGAGAAGTCCAAGTTGGAAATAAGGCAAGGAGCAGAATGGGAAGGAGGAAGAGGACTGCGTCATTATCTGTCTTCCCTGAAGTCCCAAGGGGACAGATCCCTGTGCTCATCACTTATGCAGGCTCTGAGTGGCTCGAGAGGGAAAGGTCAGGAGTTACAGGCAAGAGGAAGGATGTCTGCAGATGACGTAGGACAGATGGACGGGATGCAGGTTTTGCAGGAAGCATCTAGCTTGGAAACGACGATTTGGGGGAATTTAAATATAAGACATTTTCATGCATAGCAGTGTGAGAAATATATGTGGCAATATGAGTAATGGAACTAAACCTCAGTACTCAGAACTCCCTCGTATTTGAGCTGACAGAGTGGTATTATCACCTTGGATCAAAAGTCTGAGAGCTCGTTCGTTACTGGTAATTATGGCCCACTTCCAGCACCGATACTTACATTCTACTTCCCTGACTCGCCCTGGACTGTCTGTTAAGCATGTTTCCTGTCCCTCCTGGTCCCAGGTTATTCCCTGTTCTACATCTGTGGTTCCCAAGGGGATGGTGAGCCCTAGTGAGCTGGTATTTACCATCTACCTTAAGATCTTTGAATGAGAAGTGCCATGAAAGTGCCAATTGATCTGAGCAAGAGCAGGCTATCATCCCTTACGTGTTAGGCCGCCCTAACCATGTCCCCTACTGTGTATCTCCTCTCCTTATTTGCAAATGCTTCACATTCATCGTGATCCTTCTCTGCTGCCTCCACTGTGAGCATCTTAAGAACAAGGAGTATGTCTTCTCTTCCTTTGGTAGCTTCCAGTGAATAATAAATATGCCATGGCGCTTGGTGACGGATTGCTTAACCATGTGTTCATAAAGCCACGGTGGACTCCTACCTCCTAAGGCCCCTCATAAACTGCCACCCAGAACCCTCCTCACCAGTCCTTCTACCCCACTTATCTAAACTGACATAGCTCTTAAAAATCATCTTTTCCCCATCTATCTGATGGCACAGGAAAGAGGAAAACAGGAACAAGTGGATAACGCGAGCAAGATAAGGAAGTGAGAGCCCATAAAAGACACCACTTAATGGGTACTTGTAATATTTCTGAATGCGCGCTTACACTCGTGCATGAATGAAGTGATCCATCAGTCGACAGAGATAAGAGTAAGGCCCTTTGTGGTTGCAGTGACAGATACCCAGTTACATACAGAGCACAAAAGGAAATGTACTAGTTTTGATTCGGAATCCAGGGAATGCCAGACCCCAGGCTGTTCATAGGGCAGGTTTTCGCAGGGCCTCGGGAGCAAAGAGAACTGAGGACACTCTGACCATCTCCCAGCTTTGTTTGTTGGCACACATCAGCTTCACTCTTTCTTTGTTCTGTTGACTCTCTAGACAAGGTCTCCAACAGCTCACAAATGTTATACCTACCATTCATTCACCACCCAGAGGGAGACAAGTCCCAAGATGAGCCTCAAGTCCAAATGACCTACGAAGGTCTTCCTTGGCCCAGCTAGGGTCAGGTGTCCCACCCAGGACTGTAGGGCCTTGTGACCAGGAGTGTGCACAGGAAGGAGACAGGGCAGGAAGTTTGTGGGTGCACAATCCTGAAAGTCAAGGATTTCCTGGAGGAGTCAGAAAAGAGCTAAGCGTGGACTATGCAAAAGCTACCGGATTATGTAGGACTGGGTGCATTCCCACCTAACAGTCCAGTCCTGTCAGGTGGAGGAAAGAAACGTCAAAGGCTTCACCACTAATGCTGGATGGGGAATACTGACACTCCAGCCATTCCCCAGCCAAGGCCACCAACAGCCAAGTGGGATGCTGGAGAACCGTCCAGTGCCTCTAAGACGCAGGTAATGAGGTAACCAGGAAGGATCTGGGTATTCATCCTGCTCTCAGTAAGTCACTTACATCCTGAGCTTCAACTTCCCCCTTTGTAAACTTGTGGAGCAGTCTATGTGTTTTCCATGGTTTCCCCTCTCTTCAGTTATAGCTTTCATATCCGTGATAACATCTGACCTAGGCAGGTGGGCAGATCAGTAAATTAACAGGTAACATAGCAGCAAAGGACAAGCAAGATGGAAAGCAATCTTTTAAGCATCTTTTGAGGTCCATCAAAATCTGTTGATCGCGCCTCTGCTGGCAAACTCTGACTAAATTTCATTACCACCCCATAACGCTGACTTTTCTTACCTTGGGGAGAGTCAAGAACTCTGAGGCCTTTACACAAAGACTGCAATGCTTTCGGCTTGACAAGCTGAAGTATAAAAGGCACCAGTCCCACGGTGATTGACTGGGCTTTTGTAGGCAGTGTTCCAAACCAGTGCAGTACTGCGTGTCTTCACTTACTGTAGTTATGATTTCATTAGCCTCTCTGATAAATAATGCAGCGACTTTAATGATGCATTTCCTCTTTAAAAAAAAAAAAAAACAACCCACAATGGAAACACCATTTCATAAAGCAGGGAAGAACAATGACTTCTGTTTAATTTTTATTACTTTTAAATTAATCTGTAAGGTTTTGAGAAGTGAAAACCACCTTCTGAGGAAAAACAAACAAACAAACAAAAAAAACGAAAGAAAAAGGTTAACCTGCTTAAGGTGCAGTCATTTCTGGGGGAGTGCAGAATGGATATAGGTCAAGAATCAGCATGGAAGCTCCACCTTCCTCAACCAAGCCCTTTCTAGATCACAAAAGGAAAGTGGTCCTGCCAAATTAAAACCCTCCATAACAATAAAACCTGATTTAATGCAGTCATTATTTTTCCATTAAATCTGAATATCATCTAATGCATGGATGTTATTTTAAACCTACCACACTAATGCAAATCCAGCGTTGCCTGTAAATCAGACCTAAACGTTCCATCAGTTGTCATTACTGCTATTGACAATCACAGTACTTCATCCCCAAGGACACTATCCCCTCAGCCCCTGACTCCAGAGATGGAGGGGGAGAATAAAGGAGGTGTATTTTAATTTCGAACAGAGAGCTGCTTACTGAAGTGTAGAGGTTGGGTCAGTCACACCCTGGAGGTCTCAGCTTAATTTGGTTCAACATGTAACCCTTGCTTCTCCCAGCCACACTAGGCTATAAAAAAACCAAGGCTTTGGTTTGGAACAACTAGGAAAAGAGAAAACTCTCTAAGTGTTGAAACCAGAAGAAACAGTGCTAGGAACTGGTAACACAAGGGATGGACGTGACCAGAAGAGTTGAGAAGCCAAACCGGAGATAGTGATGCAACCCAGAGACTGGCCACATGTTGGCTGGTGGGACAGGGGGAAGATGAAGTGCAACCAGGACTCTTGGGGCAGAGATGCTGGGAGGATTCTGGAACCACACCAGCCCTGTCCAGTGGGATTTGGAGCCATGGACTCAGAGGAAGCATTACCACTGCTGGATGCTGCCAGGGGCACAGGGTAGGTGAAATACCCTGACTTCTCTCTTTTCCTTACCCACCCTCTGCCAGTGCCTCCCACTGGCAAAACCCTGGTAGAAGCCAACTGACCTAGAGCATGGGGAAGGCAGATGGATGTCTGTCCCCTTGCAATGAAGAGCAGGAGAAGAATGAGAGAAAGGTAGAAGGGCAGAGGTTACAACCACGTTACTATTTGGGTTCTGCCTCCCTGGGTGGGGCTGTTCGAACCCCTGCCTCAAGCCCCACCACAGACTGTCTGCTGAGAGCTGCAGAAGTCCATGGAGGCTCTGCTCCACAGTGTGACAGCTCTGTTAATCAAGTCTCTGCAATCTCAGAGTCCGTGGGGTGATGGGTATCATAGTTGACTCCCCAGTACATTACACCCCCCTACTCCTGTGGAGAAGCCCAACAGTCTGGGAAGGATGGAATGTCTCTACCCTGGCTCCCAGCTCAGGCCTCAGTTGGCTCTGACTACACTACATGGTATCACCCTCAGAGTGACTGATTCAGGGCAAAGCTGCTTGCTGTCCCAAGTGAGTGTTTGTGCTACAAATGAAGAAAAAAGAAGCTACGGATGAGGAAGCATGTGGCCCCAGAAACTGACAGCAGAGTTCTGGCTGCCAGCCTGAGGATGAGGCAGCCACCCAGAGGAGGGCAGGACCCAGAGAACCACAGAGACCAAGCCCTAGCCCGAATGACCACGTGAGCCTGGTGAACAAACCACCCTCCCCCCCCTCCACACACACACACACAAACACACACCTCAGGACTTCACAGTTACGTGACACAACAAATTCCTTTATGGTTTAAGCCACTGGAGCTTTCTGTTGCTTGCAACAAGAGTCTTAACTGATTAAGGAAGCAGTTGCTTCTTCAAAGGTTTGGGACATGGTAGATGTTAATAAACAATTGCTTGCTCTTGTTTTCTTATACAGGTATTGAGAAATGTATGCCAAGCTCCCCGGGAACCAAAATGGGGGTGGTCTGGACCTCTAGCATGATATGGTCTTACATCTGATTCTTCATATTTGTAACCCATGCTAAGCCTGCCTCTAATACAGGACACATACTCCAACCATTCTTCTCTACCTCAGGGTGAGTTTCCTAACTTGCAAAGGCTTTATCCTGCCACACCACACCATCCTCTCGGCCCCTGACTCGGGAAGATGGAAGCCCCCATTTCTCCTTTGTCCAAACAGGTTCTGAGGGTCTAATTGTTCACTATATCTCCCGGAGACAAGAAAGAACTCATAAAAGCACAGCCTCCCTGGGTGAAAAAGACGAGGCTCACCCAAGAATCTCCTCTTGTGGAGTTCTTTCTATGAGCCAGACGCACTGAAGGGTGTGAAGAATAAATTAGCTGCAACAGGAAGTTGTGGGTAGAAACTTTCCCATAACAGAAACTTGTTTGCCTCAGCCTTCACAATGGGCAACTGGAGGATAAAAAGCTAGGAATGCTACTAACATCCCACAGTGCACAACACAACCCACACGACAAAGAATTATCCAGCTTAAAATGTCCATAGTGTCAAGGTTGAGAAACCCTGCTCTAGGGTTAAGGTCTTAAGAAAGCAAGGAAGAAAAAACAATCAAACAAAACATTGTTCAAATAGGCTAAGTACATTTATTTTTGGTTTATTTTTGGTTGTATGATGCAGGCAATCCTACAATGTTGTCCTTCCTTTCTATTCATTATGCATTTCATTTCTTTATATTGCCTTCCTACTCTGGCTAGGCTATTTAGCACAGTAGAGGAAAAAAAAGTATAACTATATGCACCCTTTCTTCTCTCCTTCTTCACCATTAAGTACAGTATTTGCTGAAAGCGTTTTTGTAGTTACTACTATCAGGTAGAGAAAGTTTCAGTCTGTTGCTAGTTTGCAAAAGGTTTCTATCATGAATGTTAAATTTTATCAAGTGCTTTTTTTTCTATATCGATGGAGATGATCGAATAGTTTTGCCCTTTCTATTAATGCAGTGAATTACATTGATCAATTTTCTTTTTTTATAATTTTTTATTATGTTAGTTACCATAAAGTACATCATTAGTTTTTGATGTAATCAATTTTTAAAAATATTTTATTTATTTATTTATTTGACAGAGAGAAACACAGCCAGAGAGGGAACACAAGCAGGGGGAGTGGGAGAGGGAGAAGCAGGCTTCCCGCTGAGCAGGGAGCCCAATGCGGGGCTTGATCCCAGGACTCCAGGATCATGACCTGAGCTGAAGGCAGACACTTAATGACTGAGCCACCCAGGTGCCCCTGTAATCAATTTTCTTATGTTAAACCAAACTTTCATGCCTATAACACCAAGCTTGGGGATGAGATACTGTGTTTCTATGTATGTTGAATTCAATCTGCTAGTAGTTTGCAAGGGATTTCAGCACCTATATTCAGGAATGAGATTGGCCTGTGATTATCCTTTCTTTTCATTTCCTTTTCTGATATGGCATCAAAATTATGCTAGCCTCTTTCAATGAGTTGAGAAGTGCTCCTTTTCTATAGTCTTTGGAAAAATTTATGTAAGACTGAAATCTTCTGTTTGTCGAATGTTAAGGAGAACTTGACCTGTAAATTCATCCTGGCATGCTGCTTTCTTTAAGGGAAGATTTAAAAACTATCCATTACTAGTTGTAGGACTATTCTGGTTTTCCATTTCTTCTTGAATCATTTGCAGTAATTGTTACTTTAGATATCATTGCAATAATGTATGTATTTCAGAAATTTCTCCACTTCAGCTAACTTTTTAACTTCTTTTGTCATAAAGCTGGTTTATAATCTTTTCTCATTATCATTTGAATCTCTGACACATCATTTGAATCATCTGTGGCTCTTTTATATATTTTATTTGGCTTATATCTTATATCTCTTTCCTCTTGCCAGAGTTTTGTCAATCATATTAGTATTTACAAAGACCTCTCCTTTGGCCTTATTCATACTCCCTATCTGTCTGTGTTTTCAATTTCTACTTCTAATGCCTGTAGGCTTATTCTATTGTTCTTTTCCTAATTTCTTAAATTGGATGCTTATCTCATTAACTTTTAGCCTTTTTTTTCTTCAATGCAAATGTATGGCTCCAAACTTCCCTCCAAATCCTAGGTTAGCTGTACCTCACAAGTTTCAGTGCCTTTAGTGAGGTTTGCTGTACACATTCTTATTTATATTATGATTTTTACTTATTGATTAATTAGTAAATACATTTTTTACAATTCAACATTGATGAATTCTTCTATTCATCTTTTTTGAGTATAAACACAACAAAAGCAGTTATTTGTGGCCACATGGCACGCTCTGTCAGTCCTTTGAAATTTGTTAAGATGTGCTTTGTGGCCTAACAGGTGATTGTTTTCATAAATTATTCACATGTGCATAATAAGAATATGTTTTCTGGAGTTAATTATAAACACATCCATTTGATCAAGTTTAATTGTACCATTCAAACATTCCATATGTTTATTGACTTTTTAGAAATGTGTTCTATTGCCAAAATTGGTGAGTGAAAATTTCCCATTGCCTGATGGACTTGTCTTTTACTCCCTGTACTTTTATCAACTTTTGCTTTAGATATGTTGTGGCATTTTAGGGGCACCTGGGTGGCACGGTCGGTTAGGCAGCCTACTCTTGGTTTTGGCTGGGGTCGTGATCTCAGGATCATGATCTCAGGGTCGTGAGGTCAAAACCCTCGTTGGGCTCCGAGCTCAGTGGAGGGTCCACTTGAGGTTCTCTCTCTCTCCCCCACTGCCCCTCCCCCCTTCTCTCTTCCAGAGAACTGAATCTTTCATATTTACGTAGTGATTCATTTGGTCTCTGCTAAATATTGTTGCACATCTATTTCACGAATGTAATTACACCAGCTCTTGTTTGGTGCTGCTTACCTGATACATGTGTTTTTTTTATCCTTTTATTTTCAATCTTTCTTTGTCCTTACTTTAATATTTTTATTATTAGACAGAATAAAGATTTTTAATCCAATCTGATAATCTTTGTTTTTTAC